TCAGTTCAGTTCAGTCGCTCAGTAGTATCCGACTCTTTGTGACCTCATGAACTGCAGCAAACCAGGCCTCCTGGTCCATCACCAACTCCCGGAGTTTACTCAAACCCATGTCTATTGAGTTGGTGATGCCATCCAACCATCTCATTCTCTGTTGTCCCCTTCCCCTCCTGCCCTCAATCTTTCCCAGCATCAGGGTCTTTTCAAATCAGTCAGCTCTTCGCATTAGGTGGCCAAAGTATTTGAGTTTCAGCTTCAACATCAGTCCTTCCAATGAACACCCAGGACTGATCTCCTTTAGGATGGACTGGTTGGATCTCCCTGCAGTCCAAGGGACTCTCAAGAGTCTTCTCCAACACCACAGTTCAAAAGCATCAATTCTTTGGCTCTCAGCTTTCTTTATAGTCCAACTCTCACATCCATACATGACCACTGGAAAAACCATAGCTTTGACTAGATGGACCTTTGTTGACAAAATAATGACTCTGCTTTTTAATATGTTATCTAGGTTGGTCATAGCTTTCCTTCCAAGGAGTAAGTGTCTTTTAATTTCTTGGCTGCAATCACTATCTTCAGTGATTTTGATGGTAATCCAGGTGCATGCAACTTACTATGGAAGTTGAACCTGACAGACAACCCCTCTCCCCATCCCTAGCAAAAGCAGAGAACAGACTCCCACCTAAGCTCTGCTCTCTGCCTGTCCTTTGGATCTTAACTGTGGCATCCTAGCTATACTGCATGCTTTCCACATCTTAGTACTCTGCATTACCCTAGAATCCAGCTTATTTTCGTACTTACCCCTCAGACTCCCTCTGGTTTTCTGGGAACTCAATGGCCTTCCAAAATGTTCCCTTTGATTAAGTTAGCCAGAGTCAGTTTTGTGGTACTATTTCAAAATATGTTAATATATGCTTTTCTTTCTCACATTTCCTTATATTTGATACCTTCCCCTCTTCAGCTAGTGGAACCCTGGTCATTATCTTAGGCAAGTTTGGAATTAAAACAGGAATGTAAGATGAAAAGGTAACCATACTCAGCTTTTGACCAAAATTAGACTTTTGAATCCCGAGTGAAATATACACATACATTTTTTGACAGTGATGTGTGACTTGTGGGATCTTAGTTCTCCGACCAGGGATTGAACCTGGGTCATGGCAGTGAAAGCACCAAGCCCTAACCACTGGACCACTAGGGAATGCCACCCAGTGATAGTCTTGAAACCAAGGCTTTGTTTAAAGGGATAAGGTTTTTCTAAATCTCCTAAACTCCAATTCTTATATAAGGATATAGGCTTAATAGATGTTGATCCTCGAGTTTTATTAGAACTGTAGTGAAACGATGAAGTATATTATGCAAGGGATATATTCTGTATGAAAAGGAGAAAAGTAAGAAAGTCTTTGCCATGAAAGGAAAGCACACTTCTTAGAGGAAATGCAGTTAAGCTGATGAGATGCCTGTCAGAACTGGGACAGCCACACCGCCTTCCCTGTGCCTCCGCCAAAGGGAGAGAACAAACAAACTCAAAATGTCCATAGAAAGTGGAAATAGGCTAAATGAAAGGCTGGTGCTCTGCTTCTCTGCCAATAGGTCAAAGAGCTGTATAGTAGGATTGCAGAGGGAGACAGTCAGCACTGTAACATATCCAAGAGGGTGCACCAGATCTCCCTCAGCCTCGCATGGCTCGTCAGAGACCCAGGAGCTCCTGTGTGGGTCAGTGAGGGAAGGCAGAGGTGCTATTAGGACCTAGAAGGGACTCCGGATTGGGAAAAGGAGACCACACCTTATAGGCACACAAGTTGAGGCAACTGGCAGAAACCAAGACAGAAGTTAGTACCAGCAAAATATTCAACAGGTTCAGGTAGAACCAGCCACATTTGCAGAGGACACAAGCATTGAACCCTCGGGGACCAGATCAACCTCTCTGGAGCAAAGGACAAAAAAAATATGCAAAACAGTGGTCCCAAATCTTGCTATGTGAAGACAGGTACAACCTCCACTTTCACATTGGGCAGAAAGATGAGGCGGGGAGAGCATTTGCTAACAGAAGATACAGTCAAAATTGGGTTCTAAATTGTTGACAATGAGTATGTTTTCTTAAAAGAGTCTGAGGTATCGATACTTAAAAAGACTGTACTTGGAATTGAATCTTTTCCTGGAATTGAATCGTGCAAGCAGGATGAAATCAGCTAAGTAAAATAAGGGAAGTTACAAAATATTTTGCACATATAGGTTATGGAGAACATATGTAATTCCTGCTATACTTACAAGCATACTCAGAAAGACAATAGAAAAACAATAGATGTGTGTGTTTATAGATAGAGATTAAGATCCAATATCAAAAGAAGAGAATACAGTTGTAATTGGGTTTTCCTACTTCCATGATTCCTAGTTTTGTACCTGTAACCTAAGCTTTGTCTTCTCCACCAGCTCTCAGATCTCATTTCCTCTATTATAACTTAATCTGATACAGGAGGATAATATAAAATGAATCTAGAGATCACTATTTAAAGAGATAAAAGAAGAAATATAAGTGCTAACATGCCTCATGTCTTTAAGTATCTCAAGTTATATGATCAGAGAGAAGAAAAGCTTAAAGGAAGTATCTGGTGTTTATAAAGTTCATTGTGCAGTATATTCTGAAGAATGAAGAAAATAGGAATAAAAATAGGGTAAGAATACAAATTCGTAGTAAGTCAAGGAGCATGGTTGCTGAAACAGTGACTTATGGGACACTGGTAGTGACAACACACGACTCTAGGTAACGTAACAGAGGAAGAGTGCTGCAAGGAAAATGTGGGGTGTATGTAAAAATTATCTGCTGAAAGGATGAAACTAAGATAAAATCAGTTACATTAAATATTTATATATCAGCTGATTCACATATCAGCCACTCCCCTGAAGTCATACCACATTGGTTACCAGTGTTGGGAGGCAATTCTCTATGGTCTCTCAATTTTCTGAATGTCTTGTGAGCAGAGGCACAGACTGACTTTATCTTTTCAAGAATGTTTGTATAGTTAATAGCCTTGGAATATGGAGATAGGTCTTCCTCTGAATCACAGAGTACCTGTGCATATCATCTATTATAATAAAGATAGTGTCTCTCTCCTAGAACAAAAGTCAGGCAAATTTTATCTCATTAAAATAATTAAATTCCTTAAGGTTGGAGTTTCTCAGTTGTGGTAGAGCAGCATTGCATAGACAGAATCCATCTGGGCCTCTTCATATCAAACCCATGGGAATCTCAGGTGAGGGAGAATCAATGCAAATATAAATCTCATGCTGCCTGCTATGCCATTACAATGTCCTTTCTCTGAACCAGGAGTCTCGTGTCTTCTGCCAGCATCATGAAACTGTGGCAGGCTAACTTGATAACATGAAAGTAAAGTAACACCCAGATCCTTCATGGGACCTGGTAATCTGCTCTTTCTAGGTGAAAGGCAATTGCACGTCACACAAGCACGTCATTTTGAAAGGCCTTGATCTTCAGTGTTGAAAATTCTGACCAGTAGGAGGTTCCAGCATCATCTGAGTAATACAGAGTGCTGAGAAAATAGTTACTAAAGGAAGGAGAAATTAATATATTTCATTAAACAATTTCAATCTTTTCCAAAAAATAAATGGAAAGGTCTTTATTAGTGGACTATACAAAACTCAATCTTTGTCATCAATGCCAATTTAGGGAAGAAGAAATCTGAAAGACAGTGGCATTCATACTGAATATTAGATACAGAAAAATATTGAACTATACTTCTTTCTCCTTGTCTTAAAATTTATACTTTCCTGGCCTTTACTAAAAGGGTTTTGCATGCGTGCTCCATCACTTCAGCCATGTCCAATTCTCTGTGACCCCATGGACTGTAGCCAGCCAGGCTTTTCTGTCCATGGGATTCTCCAGGCAAGAATACTGAAGTGGGTTACCATGCCTTCCTCTAGGGAAAAGTGCTTTAGATTTTTTTTAAGTTATATTATTAATCACTCCAGATTTTTGAAAACAGTAGCATTGTCTGTTTTATTACAGCAGCAACCGAGAGTCCACTTTTTTCAAAGACACCGAAATCTATGGAAGAAATAAACCTCATTATTTTCACTTGTATTTGATAAATGTAGATACAATGAGGTTATATAATTCCTAATTATGCATATCTCATCAAGCCAATTAAACACCAGTAATGTAAATTACTTCCTGATCCAAACACATTTCTTTATGACATTGAGATTGAAGCGGTCAGTGAAGACTTTAAGCTAAATTACACTTGAATTCTTTATGGGTATCAATTTAAGAATCATTTTGCCTTGTCTGCAATGGTAATTGTCAAGGAAAAAAGAATATTCTTCAGTACAATTTAGTTAAGCACTCCAAATTCAAAGTAATTCCAAGAATTAATATCTACACTCAAACCAACAAGTATATCTTTAAAAGTTTTGTAGAATGTTTCTTTTGGGTGAGGGCTTTATTATTGGGGGTAGCTGGGAGGGGAGGAAGGAAGAGGAACTGACTCACTACAAACTGATAACAAAGCTGTTAAAATCACTCTTATCGAAGGCCTTTGCACTTAACTTGTTTAGAAGTAAAAGAAAAAACACTTCCGTGAGTCACTGAATTTCGTCCTTTCTATTTTGACAGGTCACCTTGTTCTAGTGGATAGAAACTGAGTCAATGTGGGAAGAACCAGAATTTGGATAAAGTTCATCAAATGTTCACACAGAAAAAAGTGACTTTTCTGCACTGAATTGCTTTTTTTTTAAATTGAATTTAAGTCAACGGTTCTGCATTATGAAGGCAAAGCTTCAAATCTGTAATAGAAAAACAGAAACAGAATATTCCCTGAAATTTTCTGATTAGATTTCTGATCTTCTAATAAAATTTTAACTTTTAAAAAATCAGACAGCATTATGGGAAAGGATCCACCAGTGTCTGCACTCTTGTATCTATGGTTTAATCACTTCTCTCCATAGATGCATATATTAAACAAATTCAAATGTGTGAGATAATTTAAATTTCCTATTCAATACCCTCCTAGTTTCCCCATGTCCCCTACCCATTTCCTTCATCCCCATTTTTTTTTTTTTTGCATAGATACTGAGCAAAGAAAGAAAAGGTTAAGGAATGTAGGAAGGGAGGTGAGTAGGTTAACCTTATACTGTTTTTTTTTTTTATCTCCATTACAACCAAATTTTAATTTTAAATCATATGTTGCTTCATAAGACAAAGGCAAGTACTGAGATTGGCACATAAATTTAAAAAGATTATAGATTTTAAGAAAAGATTTTGCTTTTCTTCCTCTAACTTACTTCTCTTCACTTTTACAGTGTTTTTCAATAGCTTTTTTTGCAAGATACATTTTATTTGTTTATTCATTTAGGGCTTCCCTGGTGGCTCAGCAGTAAAGAATCCACCTGACAACTCAGGAGACATGGGTTCAATCCCTGGGTCAGGAAGAGCCCCTGGATAAGGAAATGACAACCCATTCCAGTATTCTTGCCTGGGAAATCCCATGGATAGAGAAGCCTGGTAAGTTACAGTCCATGGGGTTGCAAAAGAGTTGTACATGACTTAGCGACTAAACAACAATTTATTTATTTAATTTTACTTTTGGCTGCACTGGGTATTCATTGCAAGGGTTTTCTCTAGTTGTGGCCAGTGAGGGCTAATGTCCAGTTTGGTGCGTGGGCTTCTCTTTGTTTCAGTGGCTTTTCTTTGTTGCAGAGCATGAGCTCTAGAGCATGCAGGCTTCAGTAGTTGCGGCTCACAGACCCCAGAGCACAGGCTCAGTAACTGAGCCACACAGGTTTAGTTACTCTGAGGCATGTGGAATATCCCTGGACCAGAGATCGAACCCATGTCTCCTGCACTGGCAGGTGAATTCTTTACCACTGGGTCACCAGGGAAGTCATGCAAGATACATTTTTAACTACTATATTGTTCAATTTCAGAAAGAGTTCAGAGTGGGAAAGATTACAGCTGAGACATTCACAAGGATTTCCTGGTTTTGGTGGCTCTTGCTCTGTGATAACGTGTTTCTGACATCTTAAAAAAGCTACCTTTTTGTTTTAAAATTATCAATATTCCCTTCTCCTTAAGAAACCATGTTGTGCAGAAGAAGGGAGACAGATTAACTGCAGGTTCTTTCCCCATCAATCTCAGTGACCTAAGACAAGCTTTTTAACCTCACTCAACTTTAGCAATAAAATGGAAATAGTAAGGGCTAACCTGAATAGTCACAGAATTTTGATGAGGTGCAAATAAAATGTATATATTTTATATTTGAAGAATCAATATGTAATAAAGATCTTGGAGTGTTAGTACTAAGTTATATTTGAAATAGATAAATTCATCAATATCCAAAAGGAAAAGAGTTCTATGGCCCATGAGAAGTGTGACTCATTGATAATTTGTTAACAAAATTATAATATAAAAATAGTACCCCATGCCTCAATTTCATCAAGGTCAAAAAAAACATGAGGCTTAGTAATTCTGAAGTGATTTGAGGTCTGTTTGATTTTTGTACATTGTACATGCCATGGCTCAGACAGTAAAGAATCTGCCTGCAATGCAGGAGACCCAGGTTCAATCCCTGAGTCAGGAAGATCACCTGGAGAAGGAAATGGCTACCCGCTCCAGTATTCTTGCCTGGAGAATTCCATGGACAGAGGAGCCTACATGGCAGGCTACTGTCCATGGAATCACAAAGAGTTGGACACAACTGAGAGACTAGTATCTTTCTACAAAGTCATTGGCAACTGGGAGACTGCTGATGATGTGGAAAAAAAAAAAAAAAACAACAGACTGACGCTCCCTCCCCCTATGTTATTATTATCAAATAATACATCAATAAACTAAAGCATATTAAATATTTTAAGGGTTTATTTGAGCAAAGGCGGATTCCAGTGGGACAGTGCCAGATTGAATTGTTAAAGAGCACTCTACCTGACAGAACCCAGGGAATGACTTACACAGAGAAAGCGCAGAAACAAAGAAAGCATACTGTTGCTTAACTGTAACTTAAAGCCTAGTTGGCTGGTTGTGATTGTTTGTCCTTAGCATTTTGATTCCATCACCTCAAGGCATTCACTGGCTTAGATTTTGGCTTGCACATGTAGGCCATCATGGCATTAGAGCCATCTCAGGTCTAATGGCCTCATTGTTTAATTAATTTAACAACATACATATATAGAAAAATTCAAATGTAATTAAACAGAAAGCTACATTTCCTGTCCTACCTGCTGCCACTTATCCCACTTCCCTAAGTTTCCGTTTTTAGTGCTGGTGGTTTTCTCTTTGTTCTTCACTCTGACTGATATGTTTATACTTCCACTTTCTGATTAATAAAGTTTAGATAATATCATTGGATTCTCAACAGAAGACATTCAGAGAACACACTGCTTCCCATCTGTCCTTTCTTCTGAGTTTTGTTTTATGCACACATATGAACACAAATACATACACACACACATGCTCTTTTAGCCCTTCTACAGTTTCCGTTCAGTTCAGTTCAGTCACTCAGTCGTGTCTGACTCTTTGCGATCTGTGCATCACAGCACACCAGGCCTCCCTGTCCATCACNTCACTTTCTGCCATAAGGGTGGTGTCATCTGCATATCCCAGGTTATTGATATTTGTCCCAGCAATCTTGATTCTACAGTTTAATAATTGTTAAATAATATACCAAACCATGAGTCCTTGTTTCAACTTTGTTGTTTAGTCACTCAATCATGTCTGACTCTTTGCAGCACCATGGACTGTGGCCTGCCAGACTCTCAGTATTCTTTACAGGCAAGAATACTGGAGTGGGTTGCCATTTCCTTCTCCAGGGGATTTTCTCCACCCAAGGATTGAACCCATGTCTCCTGCATTGGCAGGCGGATTCTTTACCACTGAGTCACCTGGGAAGCCCTGTTTCAACTTTAGGTCCTGCATATTGTCTCAACATGATGCTCTCCATTGCTCCCTCTCTTCATCCTCTGTAGCATCTTTACTTTCCATCAGCAAAGGTTTTAAAAGTCAGTGCCACCAAGCTGCTACTCCTAGAGTTAGGCAGTGTACAACCACGTGGATTCACATAGATGCCCTAATCATGTTTACATTTTATCCTTGCGTATCTATAATTAATCTTTAAAGCCTTATCTATAAGTGATTCATTACAGGTGAAAAACAATAAGCAACATTTACAATATCATGTTTTTAGCAGTATTATTTACTATAGAAGTAAATGGTCTGCTCTTTCTCTGTATATCCTTTTCAAGTTTTTAAATTTCTGAAATTTTACTTGAATAAGTCCAGGTTCAGTTTTTACATTCATCCCATTTAGCATTTTGTGGCCTTTTTCAAATTTCAGACTTGTGTCTTTTTTCAACTCTGGGTAATTTTCCTCTATTACATCCTTGATTGTTTTAATTCTTCCATTTTTCCACTCTTTGTAGAACTTCTAATAGGTACTCACTGTCCTAAATTGGCTTTTTGTATTTAACTTTTATATCTTATTTGCTCTGTATCTTGAGATATTTAACTGACTTTATCTTTTACTATTTCCTTTCACTTTTTACATTTGGGTAACTGTTTTTCAATTTCCAAAATCTCTTGCTTATTCCTTAGTGCTCATCCTCTAAGCTTATTTTATTATTGCAACTAGTCCAATCTTTCTGATAAAAATAATTTTAATTTTTTTCACTTGTTTCCTTTTAAGCCAATTACTCTGTTTGTTCATTTGTATTATGCTTTTTGCCTTACAGATTTTCCTTAATAATTGTTGGTCCACAGTTGGCTATTCATATTGGCTAACAAAAAACTAAATCAGCATATATAGTTGGTATGGGTTTCTTCAGGATTTCTGTTTCTCTATAGTGTACAGTGTCTACACCTTAGGAAGGAATGGAGGAGAAAGTGATGAAGTGGGTTCCCTATCATCTCACATTTTGTTCTGAAGTGCCAAAATCCATATTAGAATTTGTATGACCTGGGATGATTGGTCTATTTCTTTGGAGATAAGTCCTCTGATTTAGAAAGGGGTGGGTTTAAACCTGGAAATTTTTTGCATACTAAAAATACTTTGTTGTCATGACTAAGTGCATTAAATATACATTCTAAATGGAATCTGTTCTACATTTGATGAAACACATATAGTATTCATGAAGGTAAAAGTAATACATAGTCATGGAGTGGAAAGATGGTACACATAAAAAGAAATTCCACTTTGGGCAAGAATTGTAACTCAGTTACATGGGTAGTCCCTCAATCAATTCCTCTTTCCCAGTTCTGTCTGGCAGAACAGCTGGTGAAAGGACATGAAAACTCCACACAGACTTGTCAGAAAAAAGGGCTATAGCCTGGAACCACCTTTTCTACTGCCAGTTGTATCCCAATTCCAGTTCCATTATGATTCATCTATCAGTAATTGTTTAGATGCTTCTGCCTTGGAATGTATTCAAACTTCTGGGTCTATTCAGGAGCACCCTTCCACCCTAAGTGATTTATCTTCTGGTTAATGGAATAAGAAAAGGGGGGGGCAGTGCACAGTAAATGTACTTTTTCATACATTCAATTATAAATGGAATTTTATCTCACACTTTCTTTGGTAAAATTAAAATGAAATTTTTTCCAGAGAAGCATAGAAAGATAACTTTGATTAATCATCCAAATTAGGACACTTGCAGACTGACTTGCTCAGTCCCTAAGTCATGTCTGACTCTATGACACCATGGACTGCAGCACACCAAGTTTCCCTGCCCTTCACTATCTCCTGGAGTTTGCTCAAACTCAAGTCTATTGAGTCAGTGATGCCATTCAACCATCTTATCTTCTGTTGCCCCCTTATCCTCCTGCCTTCAATCTT